CTATTTAATGCATTTCCAACTTTGTTTTTCTTCATTTTGATTCTAAGTCGTCTCAAGTAAGTGTTTGATATCAAAAACTCTTATATCTTCATGATACGATCCTCTAGTTATTACATTGCCTTTAAATCTGAAAGATTGATATTTAATGTAGCAGATCCATATTTACAGCTTCACATATTGGAAAAAATAAACAGTTTAGATAGGAATGCGTTTGAAAGTTTTGTATCTATCACCTCAACATGTCTTGCCGCGCATACAAGCGATTGACAACCGTAGTTATATACTTCTCCAAATCTTCCTTTGCAGCTTTACTCTAGTACTGTATTCACTTCATTCTAATGCCATTCCTATCATGAAAAATCAGTTCCATAGTTGGAGCCGCTTATCTCTAGTGCGCGCACTCACTTGCACTCAGCGCGAAATCCCTAACAATTTGGCCGTCATTAAGTTGAATTTGGCTCCAGTACTATATCAAGAATGTAGATGAATCTTAATTAAGAATAACGCAGCGATTCACTCATACATATAAATTCATCTAACTTAATTAGAATAATTCCAAATGAGTTCATTATAAAATGATAAAGAAGCTGAGAAATCTATTAATTCAGAAAATTAAAAACCAAAGGGTAAAGAGTGGAATTCTGGAATCCAGAAGTTTTTATGAAATCCGCAAGAATCCTTGGGAATCTTCAGGAATTTTGTAGTCCATTGGAAGTTGTTGGAATCCGAAAATGGTAAATAAGACATAAAAATTCTTGACATTCATTAGAATCTTTGAAATTCCTAGAAATTGACGAGATATTCTTCCCATTCTCCCCCAAAATTGACGATTCGTGGAAAAATTTGATGAAATATTTTGAGATTACATTGTTTAGATTTATCGTTTCGAATGTTAATCTTGTAACTATGCTTGCAGACTACACCTGTTTTCATCTGTAATAAAAAGACACTCAAAAGGCTTGAATTGAAGGGTGTGTAGTGTGTGGGTGATCTCGATCGACCAATTTGATGTATGATCCTATCGGAATCCGAGGATCCGACAAAACTCTATAGGATTCCGGGCGACGGATTCACTTCGAATTCTATCGTTTCGGAATTCCATCAGATCCAAATATCGGATTTCATAGGATCCAATAGACAAATCTGATAGGCGTCTAAGATCATCCATCTGTATATATAAAGAAAAATGTCTGTCTGTTCGCTATGCATTCAGTCCCTGTAATCGGTACGATCACTAAACTTTCCACGATGTTTCCTTAGGGCTCAGGGGAGATCGACAGGGGTTTCGCATGGCCATTCATGGAGTGGGTAGGGGTGGGCTGTACGTGGAATTTCACCCAGGTAGTTATGTGATAACTATAGTCACCAAACTTCTCATAACTGTTCCCTAAACTTAATGGAAGCTTGAGACGGGGTGGGCGATAGTGATGGGAGCTTAAGAGAGGGTGCCTGGGTGAAATTTCACTCGGGTGGTTCTGTGATAACTAACGTCACCAAACCGTCTATGACACTTCTCTATGTACAAAGAAAAGTGGAGAGGCGGTCGGATACGGAAGATGCTTGAAATTTAACTATTTTGAAGCGGGAGCTATGCGAGAAATTTTTTTCAGCAGGCCTCACTCATACAACCACATTCTCACACCTACACCCTACAAGGGTTTAGTAGAGACTGTTAGAGACTACCATGACCAATAGCTCCGCTCTCACCCACATCGACATGATGCGTCCTTCGAGGGTATAATAGACTCACCTATAAGCTCACACCCACACCCACACCCACATCTCTACACCCACATCTCCACATCCACACCCTCACTTCTACACCCCCACCCACATCTTCACTCCTACATACACATCCTCACTCCTACATACACATCCTCACTCCTACATACACATCCTCACTCCTACACCCACACCCACACCCACACCCACACCCACATCCTCACTCCGACCTCCACACTCCGGTAGTCCGTAGCAGTCCCTAGTAGGGACTCCTTACTAGATCCTAGTATCCCTACTAGACCTTACTAATCTCTAGTAGTCTCTAATAGACTCTAATGATCCCTATTAGACTCTATTAGTCCCTAGTATCCTTAGTAGTCCCTGGTGAAGTGTGTCAGAGCTTGAATTACTTTGTAATTCATTCGCGACACCGAGTAGTATTAATATAACAAAGTAACGAGATAACGAAGGAATGAGATATTAATGGATAATTGTAGTTTTTTTTTCATGGAAATTTTAATTTTATATTCAGAATGATCATAATAAACATTTACAAGTGATGTTTATTATACTGTGACAAATGCCTTCGTTAAAAGAATACCTTCTGAATTTAAATTTATTTTCACCATCATCCGATTCTAATGAGCAGGAAAATGATCAACAAGGTCGATGGAATATTACTGGTACACGAATTTATATTATACTTATCATACTCATTCTTTTTAATATTGGTTTCATTTTATTATTACTTGAACAATCGATGATGGTTACTATACCAAATCCAACAAAAGAACAGTTTGAACGGCTGCCTATTAATGCAAAATGTTCATGTTCTGATATTTCTATTTCATATGGGAAATTTATGTCATTGAACACAAGTTTTCACCAGGTTTGTTCAAGCGATTTTGTTACTGATCGATGGCTAAATGCAATTAATTCGAAAACAAATACAACTTATTTTGCTTTTCGAGACTTTCGACGTTTTGGTAATGCTCAGTTTCAAGCACTTGCTGCTTATTGTCATTTATCAAAATCATATACTGATCAAAGTGTTTATGCCGTTTTTCAAAGTGCATTGCTTAGTCCGCAAATCTTATCGAACACATCTCTGCGCGCACACATCAATGCAGCAATTGAACAATTCAAACTAAAAACACCAAATATTTTTAATATCCAACAAAAATTAATCATCAAAATGACAATCGTCAATGAATTAATGCCTGCAGTACAAACTAGCAGATTTCTGGTAGATGGTTACTGGGTATCTGAAATCCATATAAATGGATATCGACAAACGAATGGTACTGCGTGTGACTGCATTCTAAACAATTGTAATCAAATAGAGTCAGGTATTGTCAATGAATTTGGAAGACCGAATAATGATGAGATCTGGAATGTTTTGGCATGGTCTATACCAGGAATATCAACAGGTTGTCTCCCGGGATTTACACTTCTATCGTCGACATTGGAATGTTTCTACAAGCAAACATGTGTAGACAAACTTATTTCATATTTTCCAACAAGTGAAGAATTCAAAGCGATGATTATAAATAATAAAAGCTTATATCAACCAACATCAACTGTTCAATCAATAATTGATAATTTGATGATTGAAGATTGGATAGTGGATATTTCTTATGATAAATATTATTCAGAATGTGCACCATCTTCATGCACTTATTTAAAAACATTTCGACGAGATTTAGGTTATGTCTTGAAAAAATTGATTAGTTTATTGTCTAGTTTGACATTAATACTGGGATTAATAATTCCGCTAGTTATTCAATTCATTATGAAACGACGAGATCGAACACTAAAACCACGAATTTCATGTAAGTAGAAATTACTATCAATGAGAAAGTGAAAAAGTAACAAATTAAGAATTAAGAATAGAACAGAAAAAAAGTTGATGATTTTATTTATAACAATAGTAAAGAGAAATCTGTTTTGTATATTTTGATAAAATAAAATCATATTTCTCTTTTCAATATTTAGTCAAAAATCGTTTATATCAATTTAAAGAAAATATTCAAAAAAAATTAATTGAATTGAATATTTTCAAACAATCTTCTAATACAGATCGACAAACGAAATTTCAACGTTATGGAACACGATTGTATATATTTTTGCTCATTGGTTCAATGATAATTATAACTATTTATGTATTTTTACAAAAATCAATTCAATTAAAAACGATTTTTTATCCTACTGAATCTCAGTTTATTCAACTTCAAAAAGAATATCCTCAATCACTTTCATGTCCCTGCAGTTCAATATCAATATCTTATGCAAATTTCACAACAATTCAACCACAATATCATCAATTATGTCAAAGTGATCTCATTCGCGAAGGATGGATTCATTATATGAAGGAAAGTACAACTGGGAAGCTTTTATATCCCTATGATTATCGAGCAATTTCTACTGTTTATTTCCAATTATTATCATTATTTTGTGAACAAGCTAAAGAAACCATTGATAATGCACTTGAGATTTTTCTCAGAACAGAATTCGTTACTTCACAAGTTCTTGCACAAGAATCGTTTGAAAATGAAATAGATTCATCGATTGAAGGTTGGAAATTAACAACAGCAAATACTTTTAAAAGAACTATTCAATTAATTGAACCAATTTATCAAGGAAATCAATTAATTAGTAGTATGCATGAGGATGATTTTGGAAAAGATGGAGATTTAGAAGTATATCTAAACTCACAAATAAAGCAAGGATGTAATTGTGTTTTATCTCCATCATGTAATTCTACTGTTGCAATTTATCGTGGACTTCGAGACTTCGTATACCAAGATGACCCATATCCAGTTTCAAATATTTTTTATGGTTGTTATGCAACTCAATCATTATTTATATCAACATTAGAATGTTTTTATAATCTATCATGTATGTTAGAAATTCATGATTCTATACGTTCTTCAATACCTTTCAATTTTTCTGCTCTCAATCAAAATTTAAATCAACCAAATGAAACAATCGAAATGATTATTAATCGATTAATGGTTGAAGAATGGTTCTCAAATGTTTCTTTTTTATTATATTATAAAAAATGTGCACCATTATCATGTACATATCAATATGATGGTCGAAATAATCTTTTTATTAGTATTACAACTATTATAAGTATTTTTGGTGGTTTATCACTTGCATTGAAACTTTTAATTATGATTAGTCTGAAATTTATTGATAAAATTTGTTCAAATAATTTCTTTCATTTAATTTCATTCAATTTCATTAAACAAATCTTTATTTTTCATACTGAAAATCAAGTTATCCATCGATTACATGTGATTCTAGTTATTGGAATTCTTACTACATTTTATATGTTTTCTACTTTTACGCCTCGTATAATTCCTATTCAAATAAATAAACCTTCATTAGAAATTTATGAAGATTTATATAAAGAATATAATGATACATTAGAATGTCCATGTTCACAATCATCAATGAAATATAAATCATTTTTAACTTTAACAACTCGTTTCCATGAAATATGCTCAAGTGAGTTTATTACAGATCGGTGGCTTTTATATTTATATGACAAAAGAGAGAATAACAGACGACATTCACCATATGATTTTTATAATTCAGCTGTTAGTCAATTTAAATTACTTTCCTCATTTTGTAAATTATCAAACGAAACAGTTTTTGAATCAATTCTTCAATTGGGAACAACGGATTTGATTAATAATCAACTTCTATCATCACATATCTTAAATAATCGCATTGAAATGTTTATTAATGAATTTCGACAAACAATATCACAATCATTTGTCAATAGTATTTCATTAATTCGAGAAACAATTAGTAGTAATATGTTAATGACTGTATTTCTAAGTAATTGGCAGTTTGAACGTACAAGTAGTAGCACTTGTCGTAATCTTATTCATACGTTTCCCTTAAATTATAATGGATGTAGTTGTTCATCATCATCTAAATGCGTTAGTTCATCACATGGAATGTTAACTGGTTGTTATCCACTTGAATCAATATTTCAAACAACATTACACTGTTTTTATAATCAGTCATGTATTGATTCAACAAATAATTTCAAATCAATAAATATTTCATCATTAGAAACAAGTCGTTTTTTATTAAATCAAACAACTGAATCAGTTGTCAATGAATTAATGATTGAAGAATTCAAAGCTAAAACAAATTATCCAAATTATTTTAATGCATGTTCACCATCATTATGTATTTATTCATATGTTGATAAAAGAAATGCTATTGAAGGAATATTAACATTAATTGGTTTATATGGTGGTTTAGTTATTATTTGTCGATTAATTGCTATTATTATTGTCAAAACAATGTGTCGGATGAATAGGAGAGTTAATCCGGCCGCAAATTTATCTTGAATAAATAAAAACTTTCTTGCTTTTCATTTCTATTCATATTAATCACACTTTATGCTTATTAAATAAACAGATTCTATTGCTTTTTGCTTCAGTCCATATTAATCACGTTTTATGCTTATCAAAATAAATAAAAATAAAACTTAACATCTTCATTTTTTTTCAATATCTAAACTCGGTTTACTTAGTCCCAGATTGCTCTTGAGGGTGTGGGATTGTGTTTGCTTCAGATCCTAATGTTCATTGCGCAATACCGTCACACACATTCACACATTTAGAATATTTCATATTGAATATCATAAATTCGTAAATGTTTAAGAGAAGAAAAACAATTTTTTCTTTCGTTTGAATTTATTTTAAAATAAAAAAAAGTTTGACTTAATAGAAGAACAACTATACCGACATTGAATTTGTTCGAAGTGGATCTCTATCTTCGAACATAATTGCCACCTTTGTATAGATTGATTTAAAATAAAAATAAATATCAATTCGTTTTTACTTTTGATTAACAAATAACATTGTAATCGGAGGATCATCATTAAATTGTGGTTCAAACAGAACATTGGTAATAACAAGAGTGTGAACAAGTACAAGAATTGCTTTTGATGGATCGAAATTTTATAAAATTTGAAAATAAGTTAATTTTTATATTCTTGAGTAAACAATCGTGCAAATTTTTTTTCCTAATAATAATCACTTTGCATTTTCTCATTTGAGAGCGATGCATGCAATTTTTTTT